CAATTTTCTGGATTATAAAACTGAAGCACAGAATGGTGAAGACAGCTGCTTAAGATCACACAGCTAGAGGTAGGAGAGCTAGAATTCCAAGTGAGGTCTCTCTTCAAAGCCTGTGCCCCCTTCAGAAACAAAGCTATGACATTTTATTAAGAAGCATAAACAGGATTTGAATAAAGAGAGAGCTGTGATGATTCTGAGAGGGAATATCTTAAAGTTGTTCTTCTAAAATTAATTACAGTTGTTATGCTGTCCTAGTCCAACTCCCAAAAGTATTTTTTCAAAAGGTTAAAAAAAAAGATTAAAATCTTATTTTGGAAAAATTGGTGAGTGATAACCTGAAAGAATATTTGAAAAAAGCATAATATATCTTAGTTTTATGTAGGAAATCAGACTATAAGGCAATGAACTATGGTATTAAGACAATGAAAAGGGGAAGGAATTTTGTAATAAATGTGTTGAAAAGACTGATTAGTAATTTAAAAAAATAAATATATATTGATCCTTACAACAACTCTGGGATGCAGGCAGGACAGATCACATTATCTTTATTTCACAAACTAAGGAAGATGAGTCCCTGGCCCAGGGCTTTGTGTCGATTCTTGACCTCTGAGTCACAGCCTCTGGGAGGTTCCAGGTTTGGACACTACTCAGAGGACCAGTCCTTTGGAGGCAGCCTGGGATCTTCTCTAACCCGGGTCCTGAGCAAGAGACTGAACCCAGACACATAGGTCCTAGCCAACAGCCCATACACTCACAGAGCCTTAGCACAGGCAAGGGCTCTTTCTGTGCAATTCCCTACAATACTGCTCACTGAGCTTCCATAATGAAGCTATTTTACATGCAATCTACTCCTTTTACACAGTGAGGACCAATTGTTTTAACAATGAATCTACAAGGCATTGATAATTATCTATCTATCTATCTATCTATCCATCCATCCATCATTTCTTAGCTCTGCTCAAGAGCCTAGCAACGATACCCGAGTAGCAATGAGCACACCTGACCCCAGATCTTGTTTTTTAAACGTTGTCTCCTACAAAAGGAAACCAGGGCTTCCTGGAGGAACTGATGATTCCAGTACTTCCAGCACTTTGACAGGAAAAGTTTAAGGTGAGCCTGGAACATCTCTTTCCAGACAGCAAAGAAGAAATCAAAGATTACTGAGGTGAAGTCAAAAGAATGCAGATCTGCAGATTTTAAACGTTCTCATCACAAGAAAACAAAATTTTGTAACTATGTGTGGTGACCATTTTGCAATATATACACATATCAAATCATGTTTACACCTAAAATGAATACAATGTTATATGTCAATTATATCTCCCCCCCAAAACAAAACAAAAACCAAAACACAGGAGCAGACCTAAAGGGACTCTCATTGGCCAAATTTGGGATAATTTGAACACCAAAAAGATTAATGATGATAATAGGTTATAACACATTGAGTTAAAAAAAATAATCATGAGTCTATGTTACTCCAAAAAGAAAAAAGAGAGGGACAGGAGAGGGAATGAGAAAGACAAATACACACACACACACACACACACACACAGAGAAAAAGTTATTCTGTAACAAAGAATACCTGCTAATAAGTATACAAAGAATGACATAATTAGCAAATTACCATTTTGCAACCCTCAATGTTGCTATTCTGGCAAGGATCATCAACAGATGTGGAGTGAAAGGTTATCCTGGACACAATTCCGACAGTTCCAAAGAATCACTCTACAGACTACTTGTTGGTTACAAGAGGGAAAAACTTACCCTTTTATAGAGAGATCAGGCTGTTACCTTATCCAATAATCAAGCAGCATTCATGGATAGTAGGACTCTGGTATCATATGTCTCCTAATGTGATTCAGTAAGTACACAACATTGCCAGAAAAAACAAAACCAAAAAACCAAACTGAACCCCATTATTTATAAAATAAGTTTAAACAGGTAGAGGGGCTCTATCTAGATTAAATGAGTTGCTTAAAGAGATATAATTAAATGCAATGAATGAATCTTGACTGTATCTGATTAAAAAAAAATATGAGATTTTTTTGGCAGTTGGAGAAATTTGAATCTCAACTGTTTATTAGACAATATTGAGTTCTTGCTAATTTTCTTAGGTATAATGGTGTTATGGTTATGTTGCAGAATGTTATAATTAGGAGATACATGCTGAAGAATTTAGGGGCCAAGTGTGGAGATGCCTATAACTTTTCAATAGCTTAGCAAAAATTGTGCGTGTGTAAAAGCGAAATCGGCAATGTGAATCGGCGCATCTAGGTGAAAGGCTATTCTTTAAACTTGTCTGTAGGCTTGAAAATTCTACAAATATTTTTATTTTGAAGGAAGGGGCAAGAAAAGAACACTTGCCTCCTGGGACTGTAGATGTAAAGTTCCAGTCAGTGTGCCCGGCCCCAGTAAATAGCCAGATTTCATGAATATTAGATGTTGTTACTACTACTAAGAAGCATCAGCATCTCATGATCTTCTCCTGACGTCTCAGCGCTCTGGAGGAAGCCAACCAGGGCTTAGCTAAAGTAGCCCGCAGTCGGTGGAGGGGTTAGAATTTAAATCCGAGTGGTCTTTCTACATAGACTAATCTACATAGACTAAACCCCCCACAGAAACCACAACACTAAGCCTGCCTGTCTCCATGCCGAGATCCAGGCTGGGAGAAGATGGCTGTTTAGGACTTGTTTCCCCTGCTTTCTTCTGAACCCAGAGTCTCTGCTACTACAGCAGAAAAGAAACTCCTGTCATGGCTTACCAAGAATGTTAACAAAGAGGGGCCACTTCTGGCCCTCAAAGATGTGGATGGGTAGAAAGAACTGTAGGGGCTTTGTGGGGAGAGGAAAGTGCATGGGCTTTGGCATCACCTGGGCCTACGTTTGAATCAGGCTCTGCCCCTTTACTAGCCGTGTGGCCCTAGACCAATTCTTGGGCATATGATGGTGATCATAACAACAACAATAGCAGTAATAAAAATGGCTGACATTTACTGAGCAGTTACTATTGTGCTATGCACTTTATGCATGTTCATCTCATAGATAAAGGTGCTTATTATTATCCCTACTTTATAGACCATGCCAGGCCCTCTCCTGTCTCTGCAGTTTGGCATCTGCTATCCCTCTGCCTGCACTGCAAAGAAAATGCCAGTCATCTGCCAGGCCCCTCAGCTGCAATTCATTCTTCCCTTCTTTGCATCTCCAGAGCATTTTATTCTCACTCCTTACCAAGGCCCACTTTCCTTAAGTAAATGGGTGCCTGGCCACCCTGTTAGGACAGGGATCTCCCCTCTCTGTACCCCAAGAAGTAGGCAGGCAGGGGAAGGGGGACAACTCCTCCCATTTAGTCAGATCCATTTTCCTAGTCCCAGACTCTCATCTACCAATAGGGAGGTTTACCAATCTCTCCTGAATTTTTAAAACTTTTTATTTTGAAATAGTCTCTTGAATTTTTAATTTGGAATCTGAGGCACAGGGCAAGGCCCAGGTAATTACATGGAAGTAAATATAGTGTGTAGGGGATGGACAGAGCATAGCTGGGTAAATTTCAAGGATGACAACACTTCAAGTGAGTAATGTGTCTCCCAATAAACTGGAGCCGTCTTCCCCACCTTACACAGCCCACCAGATAAAGACTCTGGCTCAGAGCCCTGGGTACTGTCTGGGGGAACCACCCTTCCTGGCCTCCCCCAACACCCGACAGCTGTATCTTTAGCCCTGTTTTGCCCAGTTCATATCTCTAAGACGCTCACAGGCTGCTCCATTATGCCCACACCACAGAGATAAAAGGTGCTTCCCAGACTCAGGTGACACAGATGGACCCCTAAAGGAGTTGGCCAACTGGGAAAAGTGGGCTGGAGAAGGGAAGCCACCTGACCTGGCTTGCACAGCAAAGTATTCTTTCATCTGGTGCAGACTTCCAATAACTATCACCATCCCCCACCCTCTTCCAGAATTTTCCTTCATCCTCTTGGCTCACCCTCAAGCTTCACCTTGTGGTTTTCCTCAGGCCCAAGCACCTCATTTTGACCACTCTTCCTTATGGTCTTCCTGTTCCTCACAACAAGGATAATTTATAAACAAATGGCTTTCAAACCCATCACCTCATTTCATCCTAACAATAAGCACAGGAGGGTTGCCTTAGGTTGGCACTGAGAAGGGTTGAGGAAGATGGTCCTGTCACACAACCTGTTAAGGGCAGCACATGGACACTTTCGTCTGTTCCCTGCCATTCACTACAGATTAAACCTCTACCTCCGTGCAGTGCAGGGAAAAAAAGCGGGCTCTTTGGAGTAAGGAATCCTGGGTGGCTTTAGGCAAGTCACTTTACTTCTCTGAGCCTCAGGTTCCTCAACTGTAAAGAGATATGGTGCCGTCTTCACAGGGTGTGAATTGAATGAACCCATATATGTGACGCAGAGTTCATGGGATGGGCTCTTTACTTCTAGTCACAAGGGAAGAAAGATGCTCTGTGCATCCACAGGCATTTACCCATTCGGGCAACCTCTTACCCAAACCATGTCAGCGCTGCTGACACTGGGCTTTCCAGGGCCGAGAGGGATACTTTTCATCTTTGCGTCTCCACCCCTCCCTCCCCAATGCTTTTCGGCCCATTCCACCCAATCCATCCCAGGCTTGCCTCATTGGCTTTCTCAGCATCCACTCTGCAGCCCCTTCTCCGACCTCACGCGTGTTCTCCTTATCTAGAAACCCCGCCCCTCCATGCCCCACCCACCAGACTCCTCCCCCAGTCTCGGCCCTTATTATCCGGGCTTTTCTTACTATCACCAGCCATCCAGGCTCCTTCCACCCGCTCCGCCCCTTCTTCTCCATAAGCGTCCCCTCCCCCCAAGCCACGGGCGTTGCTATCCCCATTGCACAGATGAGAATGGCGAGGCTAGGGTAGGCTAGATGACCTCTCGGAGTAGGACAGGTGCCCAGGTGGGCCGTTCCCTCACCAGCACTCCCTGCGCCCCGTGCCCCCGGCCGCGCCGCACCCACCTCCTGCCCTCGCTCGGCAAGCTCCCCTCCGCGGGCGGCCAGCGCAGCTTTGCGAGGGGGGCGGAGGGCCGGAGCCCAGCCTAGGGGCGTGGCGGCCCGGGACCCGCGCGCTGCGCTCGGGAACTTGTAGTCCTCCATGGGCTCTTTGCAGCTCGGGGCGTCGACTTCGAACTCTATCTCCCAGGAGGCATTGCAGTTAGCCGTCCAGCTCCCACCCCGCCCCCGCCAGCGTTCAGGCCGGCTGGCCTTAAAGGGGACGCGGCCCTAGTGGCTGCTCGCGGGGTGGCCCCCGCTCCGGCTCCGCCCCGTTTCCCGCACCTCGCCCCTCCCCCCCACTTCGTCCCGCAGCCCAGTGGCCGCGCCGCTGAGTTGGGCTCCCCTGTTCCAGACTTGTGCAGAGCGGGTGGAGAGGTTGGGCTTTTCAGTGGAAGCAGCATCCCTGCCGTCTGGGACCTGGCGGAGGGCGTCTCCACTCTGGGGGAAAGCAAAGGACCCTCCCTGACCTAGCCTGGCCCAGCCTGGTCCTGTCCGGCCTGAGCGCCCCGCCCAGGAGCTGATTCCGAGGCAGGGGCCACTGGGGTTGCAGAGGTAAGGGGGCTGGGGCGTGTGTGTAGCTTGGGGGTAGGGAGTGACTGCACCCAGATGGTTCGAGAGCCGGGACGCGCGCGTAGGGCTTTTAGAGTCCGGGAATGGGAGGCGGGAGGTCTAGGTGCATACTGGGCCTGGCTGTGTGACCTTGGGCGAGTAGCTGCCCCTCTCTGGGCCGCAATCTCCTTCATCAATTGTGTATATAGAGATACCGCCCCTGCCCCCGCCCCCCTCAGGGCTGAGGGCACCGGCGCCCAGTGTCATGAAGCTCGCCAGCCTTTCGTGGGATCCGCAGCCCCAGTCTGGGCTGGGAGCGGGTGCACTGGTATAACTGGAGGGAAGGGTGGGGTCGAGCTGGGGTGCAAACTGAGGGGCCAAGCGGCCGCCTCCGCTTGGAATGGGCTTCTGCTATTCTCAGCATCCTCGGCCAGGGCGTACTCCCCCTACAAGAGCCCTTGCGAACAAGAGACCTCGATGTGTCAGCCCGGTGCCCGCCCTTCCAGAATGCCTGGGATGGGGGTGGGGACGCGGGCATCAGAGGTATGTGAGGGGTGGCCCCCATTGGGGCTGGCTTCCTGAGAAGCGAATATATGCTCCCACCTTCTTCCCTTCTCCTCCTCAGTTCTCCTTCGGTAAAAGGGCAGTTGGGTTTTACTAGTAACCTTCCCCACCCCACCTTTTTTTTTTTTTTCTTGCGACAGTTTGGCCCAAAGGAGTGCCTCCCAGTAGTATGGCGAGGGGATCCTTCCTGGGACTGCCTTGGGTAGAAGTTCAGTTAAAAAATACAGAGAGAAATGCTGCTGACTAGAGACCTGGGGGACGCGGGATGGAGGGACTTCTCGGTGTCAGGAGGCACAGCCTGGTGCTCCCCCCACCCCCTGCCCATCCCAGGCAGCCAGGCAGCTCAGGCACCCAGGGGAGTCAAAGGAGGGAGACTGGGTGTGAGGGTCAGGGAGGAAAGGAAATGGGCTCCTCATTGCTAGGGCTTGGAGGAGCTGCTGTGCTCTGGGGTGTGGAGAGATTGTGAGCCCTTGAAGCCCCCTCCCCTGTCCCATGAAATTCTGTGAACTTTTGACCTGAGGGTTACCAGGAACAGGTTTGTTTGTTTGTTGTTTTCCTTTTCTTCAGCTTTGGTTGTTTGAGTCGTTTCTAGAATAGCCCATCCAGTGACCTCTGTAGGGGCTTTCTTGGCTGATGTTTAAGATTCTCAGGGTGATGGATATGCAAGACCAGATCTGGGCAGATGAGGGGGCAGTGACCGGACCAAGGGTTAGGCCAGTCCCTGGAAGGTGCTTTTCTGATCATATCCTTGGTTCTATCTCATCTTACTGTCACATGTCTCTCGGTCACTTGGCACTCCTTCACCTCTGTGCCTGGTCCTGTGCTGGGCACTGGGCACAGATGGGGGACCGGACCTACTTCCTACCAAAGGAGATCCCGGCCTGGTGGGGGAGATGGGCATAGAATCAATCCAGTTACACTGCCCAGGGATGAGAGAAGCGAAGAGGTCCTTTGGAAGCCAAAGCCCAAAGATTGAGTTGCAGGGGGATTTGGAAAGGCTTGCCAGAGGAGGGGGCATGTGACCTGGGTATTGAAGGATGAGTCAGAATTTGCCAGGAGAGAAGAGGAAGAAGCCCTTTCTCAGCAGAGAAAACTTCACCAAAGTGTTGAGCAGGAAAAAGCCCACTGCTCAAATTCCTGTAGATTCACCACTAAGTTCATCTCCCACCCTGCCCCTTTATTAGTTTAGTGTCACAGAAAGGACGTGAATGTCAGGCTTGGGAGTTTGGACCTTATCCTGAAGGGGCTGGGGGGCCTTGAGGGTTCTGAGCAGGGGCATGGCAGCATGGAGTTTATTGTCTAATGCGGTAATCTGATGATATTTGCAGGGTGTGTCGGAAAGACCAGGGGGGGATGGGGAAGTCTGAGCTGGGGCCCACGGAGGGAGTGAGGCAGGACATTGGAGCTGTTCACACACACACACACACACACACACACACGGTGCTTTGGGGGTGATGGGTGATGGAGATTGAATATAGTCAGGCTCTACTATGCAGGAACAGAGACCTGTCAATATACAGTGGAAAGGTGGAGGGTCATTTGAGAGGGACAGTTAAAGGGATCTGAGCCTTCCAGGGGAGGGATCATGATTTTCTTGTGTGCTAACTGTGCGTCCTGGAGCGGACTGGGTGTTGCTGGGACTCCCAGGCTGTCATGTCAGCAGTGAGAGATAATAAGCCAAGGGTGTGGGAAGGAGCCGCAGCACTGGCTGGGATAAGGCTAAGGGGTGGGCAGGTGATCATCTCCCATTCTGGGGTTCAGAGGCTCTGAGAGGTGGAAAAACACCAGCATTGATGGTTGTGGCCACAGTGGGGGTAGTGGCTGGACTAGATTTGAAGCCTGGCCTCTGTACTCCTGCAGGACACATGTCTCTAGTGGAGGATGGATTGAGGAGGGGAAAAAGGAGATTGGTTAAGAGGCTTCTGCGCTAGTCCAGGCCAGAGGTAAAGAGGAGCTGATCTTGGGTGGGGCTGGAGCTCAGGGGAGAGAGTGGAAATGATGAGTTGGCTTCGAGGGCTAATGGATGAAATTCCTTGTAGAATCAGCTGGATCAGGAGTATGTGTCTCCTCATCTTCTTCCCGGACTGTGTCGGTTTTGCCTCTCAGTGCCAGATGTCCCAAGAATAGACTCTTACCTATTCTTATCTATTATCTGGCCCTTATCTTTTTTTTTTTTTTTGGCTGCGACCTTGTGTCTTGAGGGATCTCAGTTCCCCAACCAGGGCTTAAACCTGGGCCATGGCAGTGAAAGCCCCGAGTCTTAACCACCAGACCACCAGGGAACTCCCTGCCCTTATCTTTTTTATACCTCGTCTCAACCTCATCAGTGGTAGGCTCAGAATGGTCCCTGTTTTCCAGATGAGAAGGCTGAGGAGTCCTAGCAGGGACTCACCCAAGGTCACCTGGTGATTCTGAAAGCAGAGAACCTTAGTCTCCTGCTTTAACGCAGGCTCTTCTGAGGGAGGACATGGCTGCTGTTTGTTGCTGCACTTGGCATGGGGCAGCTGTCTCTTGGGTCAGAGCCAGTGTCGACAGGCCATATCCTCATCCAGAGCCTAGAAGGAAGGGTAACCCCCCCCCCCCGAGGAGCACTGGGGGTCTGCTTCTTCCTCCCCTAGAGAGGATGAGTGCAGGTTCTAGTCCCACCCTGCCAAGGCTGTGCCTTTCTCCCTTGTTGATCCTCGGCTTCCCCATCCATGCCGTGGGGAGAGCAGGCATTGTTCTGCCTCCCTTCCGTGGCCTGGGATGGGTCAGGTGAGGTCCACTCCTCTAAAAAGCCCTTTGCATGAATGCATCCAGGATATTACTGAGTGGGTTTGTTGGTGACCATGGTGACAGCTGACCTCAAACTGCTTGTGTGGGAGTGGGGGCAGATAGGCAGGGCTTGCTGGAGTGGTCAGGCCACAGACTGCACAGAGGCTGCAGGGCTGGCCTCGGAGATCCGAGCCCTCACAGAACGGCTCCACTGACCAAGCTCCCAGCTGCCAGGCACAGACCACCTTATGTGATAGGTATCAGGTAGAATGATAGGAGATTGCCAGCATCTGATCCCTCCCTTTGATGTGGTTCAGCCTGATATCATTTATCCCCATTTTACAGAAAAGAGGCTCACGATATTACGTGCTCAAGGTCACACAATGAGTTGCAGGACTAAATGGGATTTACTCCAGGTCACACTAGAATGCAGGACTCCTCATTCCTAGTCTGATTTTCTTTCCACTTCCAGAGCCTTCCTTAGCCCCAGAACTCCGTTTCTGCCTGCCCCCAGGTCCTCTTCCTCCACACATGATGTCAATATCTCATCGATTAGGATTTCTCCTTGGTTGCCTGAGTACCAGGGTTTCTTGGCATCCCGGGTTGAAAGCATATTAAGTCCACTAGCCTGGAGGGCAGGGTAGGGGTTTGGAGGATGGTCTGCAAGGGACTGCCCAGGAAAGAGTGGACCAGGGCTGAAGGCAGACCCATTTTTAAAGACACTTTTAAAGACCTTTTGGGAGTATGCCTTGTTTCGGCACTCTTTACCAATGTGTCTGTCTCCACCACTGGACTGACTGGGTGCTCCTAAGAGCAAGGACTTTGCTTCTAAAGCAAAGGGGACTGACACTTTCTGAGCACTTCCTTGTGCCCAACCTTTATATTTGTCTTCACGTCAGCCCTGCGGGTTGGAAATAGGGGCTCAGAGAGCATAAGTAAGCTGGATGGTAAGCCGAATGCATCCCGGTTGAATCTCAAAGAATAGAGTCTAACACCATTCCAAGCTTGGGGTGGGCCCTGGGCATATGAACTTGTATTAAGTGCTCAGGTGATTCTGAGGCAATCAGGCCAGCATTCAGGAACCACTGATCTGTGCCCTGGCTACACCGTCTAACCTTACTCTGCAGTGACTGGCCAGCCATTGAAAAAGAAGCCTGGTCCCTGCCCCAAGGAGCTCACAGCCTGGTGAGAGAGAGAGAAACAAATGTGCCCATTGCATTGTAACACACGCAGTAATGGAGGTTTGGTCTCGGTGGAGAGCTAGGACAGAGAAGGGAGCGTCTCCATAGGGCCTGGCAGATATCTGGGGTCCCACAGTATCTGTGGTTTTGCATAAAAGTTTCTGGCCCATCATCTAGGAAATTTCTGGCTTGTCTTCACACCCATTCCAGGTCTTAACAGTAGAGTAGTTTTCACTGAGACAATAAGTTTAATTAAACACTTAGCGTATACTGAACCTTATATTGGGTCCTGCCTAGTGTGGGATTATACAAGGAAGCAAAGAAGTGGTCCTGCCTTTTAGGAGCTGAACCTGTGGGAACCACCATGAGAATCAGGAATCAAAGTGGGTCAGCTTGGGATGAAGTTTTCCAGAAAACAGCTAAAATGGAGTGGAAGGACAGAGGAAAGTATATTACGGCTCAGAGGAATAAGGCAGCAGTAACTCACACCACACTCTGCATTTGCTTATTCAACAAATGCCTACTGTGTGGCAGGCACTGTGCGAGGTGCTGGGGATACTGTGGTAAACAAAACCTGACTTGGTTCCTGCCCTCAGGAACCTATATAGTATAGTGGAGGAGGACGACCTCAATCAAGTAATCATGATAAGTGCTATAAAGGAGGACAGGATGCTCTGAAATTGTTAACAGGGGTGTTTGACCCATACAAGGAGGTCAGACAGGCCTTCTGTGTGGAAGAAGTTTGAGCTGAGCTCTGCAGGGTGAGCCAAGCAAGGAGGGGAGGGAAAAGCGAGTGCAGAAGCCTGGGGCAGGGAGGACACAGTGAGCCCACAGTGAGGGGCTGGTGTGGGCTGAGGCTTGGGAGGCGACAGGGCCTGCCTGTGCAGGGTTGAGCACAGAGGTGAGATCATCTGCCTTAGTGGAGGAGATTCGGACCCGTACAACTCCGCACTATGTGATCCCAGCTGCCACAGAGGAAGAGGCCACAGGTGGCTGTAGGAGTCCAGATGACGGATGAATTCATGCCTGGAAGTCCAGGGAGGTTCTCATTAAGGATTGGGTGTTTGAAGTGGGCTTTAAAGGAAAGTAGGACTTTGCCTGGTTGTATGAATGTGTGCTAGTGGTGGAGGTCTTGGGAGATAGGATGTTTCAGGCAAAAGGCACAACGAACACAAAGAGGAAAAGGGTAGGTCATTTGAGAAAGAGCAAGAAGCTGATTGGGGGCAGAATAAAGTGCACCAGGGATCTCTGGAAGCCCTGTCAGCCCTTCCTTTCTGGAGGTGTGATTTGTGTATGTGCACAGCTCATCTCCCCACGGGACATGGCTTGGCCAAGACCGTGGACAGCAGCTTCTAGATCCAGCTCTTACCTCCCTTGCCAAGAACCGATGGAGGTCCCCAGGGAGGCCTGAGGAGCGAGGGGCAAAGGGGTGGAGGAGGGGGAAGGCTCAGGTGTAGGCTTTGTGAGATGAAAGGCGCTCATCAGCAATAACTACAACCCACTGGGGCTTATTATATGCCAGGCATTGTGCTTCTCCTCATCACGTCACCTCCGGGGGAGGTAGGTATCCTTGCCCTATTTCACAGATGGGGAACTGAGGCCCAGAGAGGTTGAGCTGCTTGCCCCCAAGCCTCAGCAAGCAGGGGACCACGTGGGGGATCGGTCCTGTCGGGCAGAGTGTGACCCTGCTCCCTGTCCCCTGCAGCGTGGCCGCCATGGACAAGATCTTGGAGGCGGTGGTGACGTCATCATACCCCGCGAGCGTGAAGCAAGGACTGGTGCGCCGAGTGCTGGAGGCGGCGCGGCAGCCGCTGGAGCGGGAGCAGTGCCTGGCGCTGCTGGCGCTGGGCACACGCCTCTACGTGAACAGCGCCGATGAGCTGCCCCGCCGCGTGGGCTGCCAGCTGCTGCACGTGGCCGGCCGCCACCACCCAGAAGTCTTCGCCGAATTTTTCAGCGCGCGCCGAGTGCTGCGCCTGCTGCAGGGGGGCGCCGGGCCGCCGGGCGCCCGCGCGCTGGCCTGCGTACAGCTCGGCCTGCAGTTGTTGCCCGAGGGGCCCTCGGCCGATGAGGTGTTCGCGCTGCTGCGGCGCGAGGTGCTGCGCACCGTGTGCGAGCGCCCGGGGCCTGCGATCTGTGCGCAGGTGGCGCGGCTGCTGGCGCGGCACCCGCGCTGCGTACCCGACGGCCCTCACCGCCTGCTCTTCTGCCAGCAGCTTGTGCGCTGCCTCGGCCGCTTCCGCTGCCCGGCCGACGGCGAGGAGGGTGCCGTGGAGTTCCTGGAGCAGGCCCAGCAGGTGAGCGGGCTCCTGGCGCAGCTGTGGCGCGCGCAGCCCGCCGCCATCCTGCCCTGCCTCAAGGAGCTGTTCGCCGTCATCTCCTGCACAGGTGCGTGTGCGATAGGGGCGGGCGGGACCCGTGCGTGCGGAGTCTCCTGTGTGGCGTGCCCACCTCGTGGTGTGGCGTGTGCATGCTGGTGCACAGGTGTGTATGTGTGTGGGGGTGGGTGCTGTTACTTCGTTTAGTTAGCAGGCCCCTTCTGAGCTCCTGCCGGGTGGGGGGCTCCTATCCGGTGGTGCCTGCTGGGCATGCAGAGAGGAGGGGACCCAGATCAGTCGGGCCTGAAGGAGGACCAGGGGGCTGAGACAACAAGATGTGGGGTGGTCATCATGTCCTTTGGGTCAGGTGGGTTTCGTAGAAGTGATGACTTTTGAGTCAGGCCTTGAGAGCTGGGTAGCACCAGGCAGCAGGGATAAGGTACTCAGGGCAGGCAGAGTGGAAGGTCTGGAGACATGATAGAACCTGTATGTGTCAACTGAATTGTAAATCTTGGCCCTCCGTTGACAACTGTGGAAATTGGACTGTAGTTTAAGTGACTGAAATAAAATCTGTGCCTTCCCTGATTATAGGGCTGTTCAGGGGAAAGGAAGGGAATGTACCTGGCAGGAGGAAGGACCAAGGCCAGGAAGGACCAAGGACCTAGGTCTTTATACAACTGGACAACAAATTTTGATAACTAAATTTTTTTTTTTTTTTTGCGGTACGCGGGCCTCTCACTGTTGTGGCCTCTCCCGTTGCGGAGCACAGGCTCCGGACGCGCAGGCTCAGCAGCCATGGCTCACGGACCCAGCCGCTCCGTGGCATGTGGGATCTTCGCAGACCGGGGCACGAACCCGCGTCCCCTGCATCGGCAGGCGGACTCCCAACCACTGCGCCACCAGGGAAGACCGATAACTAATTTTTTTTTCATCTCTATTGGGTTCCACCTGGAATGTCCTCCCTCCCGCCGAGTCACATAGCCCTCCTACCTGTTCTTGCCAGCTCCAGTGTTACCCCATCTAAGGGTCTTGCCTATACATGCACAGCTGGGGGTTAGTGCTTTTTTCTTTGCCCAGCACGGGGCCAAAGCAGTGCCAGTGAAGGTTTGTTGAGTGAATGAGCTAAGATGAGATCAGAGGCTGGGATGCTATAGGAGGCAAGGAGGTGGCCCTGATGTGCTCTTTGCAGAGGCTCCCTAGTTCCTTGGCAGCATGAAGGACATGGGGTGATAGGGGAGGTGTGGGGTCCACTTGTCCTGCAAAGCTCAGCCCAGGCACCTGTTCCAGAGGAGGAGCCACCATCTAGCGCCCTGGCCAGTGTGGTCCAGCACCTCCCATTGGAGCTCATGGATGGTGTCGTCCGGAACCTCAGCAATGATGACAGTGTGACCGACTCCCAGATGCTGACTGCCATCAGCAGGTGGGCTGAGGGACGAGTGGTGGTCAGGTCTCTCTCTCTCCCAGAAGCCCCTTCCACTGGGTGGGATTGCTGGGCTAGATATAGTGTCAGAGGGCCCAGGCCCTCATGCTTGTTCATTCATCCATCCTTCTTTGAGCCCTTCCTGTGACTGGCCCCAGGCTGGATGTGTAAGACACAGAGAGCCTTGCCCTAGTGATGCTCTCAGGCTGGGTACCAACTCTGTGACCCCGGACAAGTCAGTGAAGTCTCTGAGCTTCAGTTCTCCCCTCTGTAATAGCAGAGGTGGTATAAGAAGTTGTCAGGTTTCCACAGGGTCAATGATAGGAGGTAAAATTACTTTAATCAAGTGCTTTCTGAGTTTGGCAAGTATGATAAACAGAGTTTGGGTGCTTTTCAGCTCACAGAGCTCTTGCACATCCCCCACCTCATTTGAACATCATTGCACCTGTGATGTAGCCACATTATGCCTGGCCTGTGATCCCCGAATATGACACCTACCCTCCTGCCTGCAGGCCTTTGGCTCTGCAGACCCCATCTACCTGGCATCCCCCCTCCCCCCTGCCATTCTTTCCATACCTGTGTGCAGATCCACTGTCTTCATTGGGTCTTCCTGGATTCCTTGTCTTCAGTGGGTAAGAGTGTAGGCTCTGGAGATAAGCTGTGTGAGTTCAAATCCTGGCTCTCCCACTTCTTGCCTGTGTGACTCTGGGCAAGTTACTCAACCCCTCTATGCCTCAGCTTCCTCATCCATAATTTGTAGTATAATTGAACTCATCTTACAGGTTTGTGGTGAGGATTGAATTAGATAAAATGAGATATTACGTGTAAAGTGCATAGAACAGTGTAATGGTAGCTATTATTACCATAATTACTACTATTTGCTTTGCTCTCTGTTGTTCTCTTTATAGCCCAGTCTACTGAATATAAAAATAATGATACTAGTGACGTTTTTCTGAGCACCTACTGTGTGGCAGCTTCATGCTCAGTGCATGCAGGCATTATCTTGAGGGGGTCAGAAGGGTTAATACATGTAAGGCAGATGGAGCAGTGCCTGGTACAGACTGAATATGACATAAATGTTAGCTGTTAGCTGTTGTTATCTCTTTTAACTCATAACAAATCTGTGAGGTAGGTATTATCCCCATTTGACAGAGGAAGAAACTGAGGCTAGACAGAGTAAGTGACTTGCTCCAGGTCACAAGCAAGGGTTTGCTGGAGCCAGAGCTTCCAGCCTGGGGGCAGTACTCCTCCTGCCATTGGGCCTCACAGTCCAGACAGAGGCAGCCAAAAGCCCTGTTCTGCCACTGCAACTCACTGTGTATGAGGTGAGGTTTGGGATACTGAGAGGGCCTGGTTCCCCTTCTGCCGGGCTGGGAGCCCCAGTCTCTGCCAGGTGCCTGTGCTGGGCATATTTGCAGTTCCCAGAGGTGTCCTGTTCATCCCACGGATCCCAGGGCTGCCCTGTGTAGGTGTGAGTCAGTGTGGGGGGATCTCAAGTCATTGTGGCTGGTCCCTGGGCTGCCCCCTCCCAGGTATTTGGGCCTCCCTGATCCTTGTGTCACGGTCACTCCCCTCACCAGGATGATCGACTGGGTGTCCTGGCCCCTGGGGAAGAACATTGACAAGTGGATCATTGCACTGCTGAAGGGCCTGGCCGCTGTTAAGAAGTTCAGCATCTTGATCGAGGTGTCACTCGCCAAAATTGAGAAGGTTGGTGGGCCCATGTCCTAGCCCCGGCTTCTGGCCTTTCCTGCTAGTCTCTTGCCAGGGGCAATGCAGGTCTGGGAGGCAGAGCACGGGGCTCCCACCCAAGCTCGCTGTGACCTGGGACAATTCACTGCTTCTCTCTGGGCTTCAGGTTTCCCCCATTCATTCTTCTGACTCTTCATTCAAGTGTGTGTGTCACTTTTGGTATGTCCATCCATCCATCCATCAGATATCTAACTGTTTTGCTGTCCATCTCACCACCCATCCATCCACCCAGGTCTATGAGCACCTCTGTGTTCTTACTCCCACATGGGTCTGCTGCTTTAACTCCAGCATCTCTGGACCCCTTTCAGGCCTGTGGCTACCCTTGGTCTTGGGTGGCCCAGGCCTGGGGGACTCCTGACCAGAGGCTTTCTTCCAGGTTTTCTCCAAGCTTCTGTATCCCATTGTCCGGGGAGCTGCCTTGTCTGTCCTCAAGTATATGCTCCTGACCTTCCAGCACTCCCATGAGGCCTTCCACCTGGTAAGGGCCCCTGCGTGTTGCCCCGAAGGTGGGCGGTCCTGCATCCTCCACAGGTCTTGCTGGAGGCCAGACATGCTGTCTGGCTTAAGGGGTTGGGGCTTGAAGCCCAAGACCTCCAAGTCCTGGACGTTAGGACTGGAGGAGACTTGAGACCCAATTTTACAGATAGAAAACTGAGGCCAAAGAATGGGTGTGACCTCCCCATGGGTCCCGAGTAGAGTGACAGGCCTAGAATGATGGCAGCTGTGTTACTTGGGTGCCAGCTATGTGGCAGGCACAGTGCTAAAGACAGTCCACATGTTCATTCATTTTACTCCCAGAGCAGCCCCAAAGGGAGGTTCTATCATTTTCCCCATTTTTCAGCCGAAGAAACTGCAGTTTAGGGAGATTAGGTTGCATGTCCCAGGTAACAGCTGGTGAGCAGTACAAGGAAGATTCCAGCTGAGTTGGTCTGACTCCTGATCCAGTGTCCTTCCTAGCTTCTCATGGTCCTTGGTCACTGCAGAAACTTTATGCTTCCTGATTTGTGCAGTGGGAAAAGCACAGAACCAGGGATTGGGGTTATGTGGGGTTGAGTCCCAGCTCTGTCTGTCATTTACTAAATGGGGTGACCTCGGGCCAGGCACTTACCTCTCAGGGCCTGGGTTGGGTGGGACAGGATTAGATGAGGTGACATTTATCAAGATCCTGCCACATTCTAGGGACTTGGTAGATATTTATTTCTTTTCATCCTTCTCCCAAGCTCCCCTGCTCCCAGTTTCTGTGGCCTGACTCTTCCATCCCTGGGACACTATGGTATAGCTCCCCTGTGGGTTTGAAAGTTAACACTGTAGCACAGAGGAAAGAAATGGACTTTGAGTTCAGACAGACCTGGCTCAGACACCAACTTCTCCCAGAACCCATGGTGATATCCTTGGCAAATTACATAACCTCTCTAACTTTAATTTCTTCTCTGTAAGATGGGGATAGTAATTGCCACATGTCACTGTGAGTGCTTGACATATAAAAGTTTGCTGCCGCTCATGTTCTGTCAGCTGCCACCAGCTGACCACATTGTGGCCCCAGCATCACTCCTGGGTGACAGAGTAGCCCTGGTCACTCAGACCTTCAGGCGCTTCAGGCAGGTTGGTTGGCTGATACTTAATAGCTGGGGCTCAGGCTCAGGCCTCCCCTTAGCTGTGAGGAGGGAATTATTTGTCCCATTAAACAGATGAAGAGACTGAGGAAGAGTATCCAAGGTCATGTGTCTTATAAAGAGGGTCACCTGCCTGCAGAGCTCAGAGCCCTATGCAGGTAAGGGGCACAGTGGTCAGGTGGGCAGACCTCCTTGCTTCAAGGAGCTCTGGGTGCTTCCAGCACTGACCACCATTCCATGTCTCAGGTGGGTAAACTGGTGCTGACTAACCCTGCTCTGCTCTCACAGCTCCTCCCTCACATCCCCCCAATGGTGGCCTCTCTGGTCAAGGAGGACTCCAACTCGGGGACCAGCTGCCTGGAGCAGCTGGCGGAGCTGGTCCACTGCATGGTGTTCAGGTTCCCGGGCTTCCCGGATCTGTACGAACCCGTCATGGAGGCCATCAAGGTGAGTGACAGTCCCCACTGCTCCCGTGCCCCACTCTGAGGAGGGTGCCGATTTGGGCTTTGCTCAAGGTCACACTACAGGTTAGTGGCAGCCCTCTATCCTTTGGTCCCTGGCTGTCTCCCATTACCTCCCCCAGCCCATCGTGTGCTTCAGGCACACTGAGCCACCTGCCATTCCCCCAGATGGATCTTCCTCTTCGATTGTTCTGAGCCTTTGCATATGCCGATCTCTCTAACTTAAACTCCTGTCTTGTCTGCCTGGATAGCTCTTATTTCTACCAAGCCTTCTTCTTGAAGTTTCTGCTCAAGTGTTTCTCCTTCAGGAAGCTTTCCCTGATAACTCTAAATTACACGCCCCCCGCACTCTGCCCCTCAGCTGGGTCATGGCCTCTCTGAGCTTCCACAGCCCTAGTGTATCCCTCAGTCACACATTGTCACTGTCTGTATGTCTGTTTCCTCTTAGACTGAGCATTCCAGAGCAGAGATGGTTTACAATTGTTCACAAGACTTATGCCCTACTCTGTGCCAGGCCCAGGCTGGGAACTGGGGACACAGGCATGAGGCAGACCACGTCTCCTCCCTTTGAGGAGCTCACAGCGTAGAGGGGTGACTGACGTGTTTACCCGTAACTGTGATCTAAGCAGCTTAAGAAATGCCTGTGAGGGTCAGCCTGAGAGCGGTGAGGCGGCAGAGGAGGGAAAGATATCCAGTTAGAGGAGGAGGCTGCAAGGAAGAAAGGGCTTCTGAACCGGGCTTGCTGGGTTGCTAGGACAATAACATTTGTAGCTAGAGTCACACTTGGCAGTGTCTTTCCATATGTTTTGTCTTCTGTTGCTCACTAGAAACCTGTGAGGCAGGTACTATTGTTATTTCAGTTTCAAAGATGAGGAAAATGAGACTTGGAGAGGTTTGGTGTCTTATGCAGTCACAGAGGTAGTGGGAGATGCAGCCAGGGCTGAGGGTTGCTGAGCCCTTTCCCATTGCTTGATACAGAGGGCAGGTCCAAGTGTGGGTGAAAGACATCCAGGTAAGTGGTGGCCCTTTTAGAACCTCTGGTCTGACTTCCATTTCTGTAACACAGCAGATAGGTAACCTGAGAAGTGTCCCATTACAAAACACCTAGAAATGCTTGTTAAAATGTAACAGATGTCTTTTTAAGTACATAGCTGAGCTTGCAAGAGAGCAAGGGGGAATCCCCAGGGGCCAAAAAGGAAGAGAAAACCAAATTCCAGAATGGTAAATGAGAGGTGATACTCTTTTGCCCTGGGTGGGGAGGGGCAGTGGGTGAGATGGCCAACCTCAGTCCCCAAGGGGCTTGAGCCGGTGGGGACAGGAGTTGAGGCTTAGGGTCTGCCCCCAGCAGGGAATCAGCACTGAGAGGCCCATGTAAATCAGGACCCAAGAAAGGCTTTACCATTAGCAAAAGGGTGTTCTAGAAAAAAATACACATGGTTCCAAGTAGACATCAAGGAAGGCTCTCTGGCTTGGTCTGGGCCCTGGATTGGGAAAAAAGAAATTGTCATTGTTGGACTGCTCTCATGTGGGTTTAGGGGTTCAAATTCTTATCTTCTTTGGTGTTGTAGCACCCTAAGCTCATTGAAAGTGGTCATAAACTTGTAATACCCAAGGATTGCCTAATAGAAACAGAAATGATACTGCTTTCAAGCCACAAAGACAGAATTCTACTAAAGATGAGTTTATAATCCCCAGATTACAAAACACGTAAGGGAACAATCCACCATGAGTGAGAGGTGATAGATACAACAAACAAAACCTCTGGCATTTACTTGGATTTTCTTAGTTTTTCCAACTTAATGTGAGGAAGAGGTGTTGTTTTTTTTTAAACAGTCGGAGCTAACTAACAATAGAAGTAGCTGCCGTGCTCGATCATGAGCTCCCTGGCACTGGAGGTGGTTGAGCGGAGAAGACAGGACTTAAACCTGTTAGGAGTGACTGTTACTGTGAGCTTCTGATGGGCAGGGACCATGTCATTTCGATCTCTGTGTCTAATAAATGTCTGAGTGAATGAACACTGTCGTGTGAAGTATGGTATCACGGAGATGTGAGCAAAGAGGAGGGAGCATGGCCCTGCCCTGGGCACCAGGGGAAACCTACGCTGAGTGAGATCCAGGCTTCGCACATTAGAGGCTGTGGTCTGATCCAGCGGGCAAGGTGAGTCCGCATATACTTATACAACTAGGTGTAGGGAGTTAGGCTCTATAAGACAGGTATAGATAGTGTGGGACCCCCACTTGAGAAGACTCTGGAAAGTCTTCTGGAGAGGGGATATAGGAGTTAGGCCTTGAGGGACAGGGACTGGCAGGAGGAGGCCCCCAGACAGGTCAGTGGGTAAGGTGTGGGAGCAGGAATGTGCAAGTACTGTTTGGTGGTAAAGTGTGGTGGAGGGGAGGGAAGAACGGAAGGATAGAGTGGAAGGTGGTGAAAACCAGGTTGTGTGACTGCTTGGTCCAGCAGATCTGGGCTTCTCAAACATTTCTTCTGAAGTGCTTGACCTCAGAGGAGGGGACTCACCCTCCTGCAGCCTGACACAAGCTCAGAGTTTCTCTAAAATCTCATTTTATCTCAAAGATTCAAGTATATACTTCATAATCATAAACACTTGTTGTAATTTAAACATTTTTCTTCCTTGAATATTAGTGACTATAGCTCTAGGAAGATGTGTGACATTTGTCCTATGGCTTTGACTACCCCTTGCTTCAAGCCACTTTGAGAGGCAAGGCAGCAAAGTATTCATGGGGTTTTATTGTTTATAAAATTCTTTCAAATATATTATAGGAGTACATCCTTTGTATACAGTCTCCTTTATAAATTCTGGAAAGTTCTCTCATTTAGGCGGTTGTAGTAAGTCATGGCAGTTTCTCTGGGAGCTGTGGTCCTTGCTGCGGGAGCTACATGTTATGTAGACTTCCAGTCACATGAGGAGCTTGAAAGGTATTTGAAAGTTTTTGTTTTATTCTCTTTATTCTCCTAAAAGTACAGAGTTACCTTCTTTGGGAAAAAGCATTTGATTTTTTTTTTCTAGTGTGCATATTTTTGTATCTTGTGTGCTTGTGTTGCAGGGTGGGGTGTTGGTTCTGTCGTTTGTTTTTTTTTTTAGCTTTCTTTTTTTTCTTAATTTTATTTTTTATATATACAGCAGGTTCTTATTAGTTACCTATTTTATACCGGTTCTGTCTTTTTGTCCCTATTTGTTCCCGTTGTGTGTGGGGTGGGGATTGGATAGGGGATAATAGGAAGAAAAAAGAAGGGACTAAGAGAGAAGATACTGAGCCCTTATCTTCTTACCTTGCCTCAGACAGCTACTATATTTTTTATCATCTGTGAGAGGTGACTGACTAAATTGTCTGATAAACAATCCTGGGAAATGAGTGAGCAGATGTGTTAAACCACCGCTTGAGCCAGACCTTCTGCAGCGACGAGGGCTTTCAGTGTAAGCTGGTCTGAAGCTCAAGGGCCTTAGACAAATCTAGGAACTGTGCTCAGGATCTGGAAACGAGAATGGGGCTAGAGGAACTGTCATGAATATCGCTTAAATCTACTAAGTAATACTGCATTATGCTTAGGTGTTTTTCTTTAAAGTATGTCATTATTAGAACCAGTGCTTGGTAATATTCTTTTCAGTGCAGCTGTTTAATGTGAAAAAGGATAACAAGTGGGAAAGCATGCTAACCCCTGAGCCTGTGACCAAGGACCCATACCGCAGACCCCCCAGGATCCTCCCACTGTCCTGACTGTAGGATCAAGTTCAGGGTTGGGGTAGGGCATTACTAATTCGAAAAAGCTGACTCCGCAAACTTTAAAGTAGAGGAGGTGAAAACAGGAGCAAGCACCGTGAAAGTATAGAGTGCCAAACTGATATAAGGTAGGAGTATCCTCACTTGACAGATGAGCAAACTGAGGTCCAGGGAGGTTAACTGACTGAGTCAGAGAGGGCTCACTGACCACAGCCAGAGAGCTGTGAGGACAAGAGTCAGGGCCAGGGTTGAGATCTCGACACTGCTGGATTGGGCCAGTGGGCCAGTGTTGTCATTGCTTACAGTCTGTCACATCCTGGGCTCATGTAACATATAGTAGATTCCTCGCTTATTGCCTCTAAGAAAATTCTTTCTCTATCTGGGTCTTAGTTTTTTCATCTACACGGTGGGGATTTTACCCCTTTCTTAAGGCAGCTGTGGCATGAAAGATCATGTAGAAGGCCCACACGTCAAGATGAAAACCTAGAACATGTTTGAAAAGAAGGAGCTGTTCTCACACATCTTTAGGGCATGTTTGGGGTGATATGCTTGGGCAGGTGTGTAGTAGGCTGTAGTCCAAGAAGGCTTCCCAGAGGAGATGATATTTTTAGAGCTAAACCTGGTGCCCACTGTCCCGCTGGCTTGTGTCCCCCTCAGGACCTCCATGTTCCCAATGAGGACCGAATCAAGCAGCTGCTGGGGCAGGATGCCTGGACCTCGCAGAAGAGTGAGCTGGCTGGCTTCTACCCCCGGCTCATGGCCAAGTCAGACACTGGCAAGATTGGTTTGATCAATCTGGGCAACACGTGCTATGTGAACAGCATCCTTCAGGCCTTGTTCATGGCTTCCGAGTAGGTGCTACTTTTGAATTCCCTGTCTGCCCCTGCTTCTCTCCTCGGGGCTCCCTGGTGTGCGGGGGTGAAGTAGGGGTTGGAGAGGGTGGGTCCTGCTTTGTGTTATCGGCATAATTCCCTGAGGTCTGTGGGCATGTGAAGGGCAGGTGAGAGCTCCCAGAGGGCTCCAGGCCATTGTCAGGGCAGTAGGTCAAGACCGGATGGGAACTTGAGTTGGGGATTCAGGGGCTCAGCTGCAGTGGGAAGGGAGTCTGCTCTGGGTTGGTCGACATCACTGACTTTTCTGCTAGAGTCCATGGGGGTGGATAGTGTCTTCCACAGTAGGACTTCCACTCACCCTGGCGTTAGATGCCCCCTTTTACTAAAACAAAATCTTTATCATCAGTGGCTACCTATCCAACTTACGGCTTGCTTAGTACATTCACATTGCTGTGCAGCCGTCACCGCCATCCATCCCTGTAACACTTTTCATTTTGTAAATCTGAAACTCTGTGCCTGTTAAACACTAACTTCCCATATTCTCATTCTCCCCTCCCCACAGCCTTTGGCTACCACTGTTATATGTTTTGTCTCTATGATTTTGTCTCTACTTTAAGTACCTCATATAAGTGAAATCGTACAGTATTTGTCTTTTTGTGATTGGCTTATTTCACTTAGCAGATGTCCTCAGGGTTCATCCATATTGTAGCATATTGCAGAATTTCTTTCCTTTTTTAAGGCTGGATAATATTCCATTGTGTGTATAAACCACATTTTGGTAATCTGTTCATTGGTAGAGTGACAGACACCTGGGTTGCTTCCATGTTTTAGCTGTTGTGAATAATGCCACATGAACATGGGAGTACAAATATCTCTTCGAGACCCTGCTTCTGATTCTTCTGGTTACATACCCAGAAGTGGAATTGCTTGGTGATATGGTAGTTCTGTTTTTTAGTTTTTTTGAGGAACCTCCATATCGTTTTCCACACTGGCAGCACCAGTTTACATTCCCACCAACAGTGCACAAGGGTTGGGATTTCTCTACATCCTCCCAACACTTCTTTTCTGTTTTTTTGATAATAGTCATCCTAATGGGTGTGAGGTGGTATCTCATTATAGTTTTTAATTTGCAGTTCCCTAATGATTAGTGATGTTGAGCATCTTTTCATGTGCTTATTGGCCATTTGTATGTGTTCTTTGGCAAAAGGTCTATTTAAATCCATTACCTAGTTTTTTTTGGGTTTTTTTTGGCGGTATGCGGGCCTCTCACTGTTGTGGCCTCTCCCGTTGCGGAGCACAGGCTTCCGGACGCGCAGGCTCAGCGGCCATGGCTCACGGGCCCAGCTGCTCTGCGGCATGTGGGATCTTCCCGGACTGGGGCATGAACCCGCGTCCCCTGCATTGGCAGGTGGACTCTCAACCACTGCGTCATCAGGGAAGCCCCATTACCTAGTTTTGAATCAGGTTGTTTGTTTTCTGTTGTTGAGTTTGAGGAGTCCTTTTGTATATTCTGAATATTAATCCTGTATCACATACATGATTTGCAAATTTTTAAAAACTTTTTATTTTATATTGGAATATAGTTCTTTAACAATATTGTGATAGTTTCAGGTGTACAGCAAAGTGATTCAGTTATACATATACGTGTGTCAATTCTTTTTCAAATTTTTTTCCCATTTAGGTTGTACATAATATTGATCAGAGTTCCCTGTGCTATGCAGTAGGTCCTTGTTAGTTATCCACTTTAAATGTAGCCGTGTGTACATGTCAGTCCCAGACTCCCTAACTATCTATTCCCCCGACCCTTCCCACCTGGTAACCATTAGTTCCTTCTCTGAGTCTGTGAGTCTGTTTCTATTTTGTAAATAAGTTGGTGTGTATCATTTCTTTGTAGATTCCACATATAAACAATATCATATGATACTTGTCTTTCTCTGTCTCACTTACTTCACTCAGTATGACAATATCTAAGTCCATCCTGATTGCTGCAAATGGCATTATTTCATTCTTTTTAATGGCTAGTATTCCGTTGTATATATGTGCCACATCTTTATCCATTCCTCTGTCGATGGACATTTATGTTGGTTCCATGTCTTGGCTATTGTAAACAGTGTTGCAATGAACACTGGGGTGCATGTATCCTTTCGGACCATGACCATGTTTTTCTCCAGATATATACCCAGAAGTGCAATTACAGGATCATATGGTAGCTCTATTTTTAGTTTTTAAGTGAACCTCCATACTGTTCTCCATAGTAGCTGTACCAATTTACATTCCCACCAACAGTGTAGGAGGGTTGCCTTCTCTCCACACCCTCTCCAGCATTTACGTTTGTGGATTTTTGATGATAGTCATTTTGACTGGTGTGAGGTGATATCTCATTGTAGTTTTGATTTGCATTTCTCTATAATTAGTGATGTTGAACATCTTTTCATGTGCCTCTTGGCCATCTGTATGTTTTCTTTGGAGAAATGTCTATTTTGGTCTTATGCCCTTTTTTTGATTGGGTTATTTGTGTTGATGAGATTAAGCTGCATGAGCTGTTTGTAAATTTTGGAGACTAATCTCTTGTCAGTCACATGATTTGCAAACATTTTCTCCCAATCTGTGGGTTGTCTTTTTGTTTTGTTTATTGTTTCCTTTGCTGTGCAAAAGCTTTTGAATTTAACTAGGCCCCATTTGTTTATTTTTGTTTTTATTTCCATTACCCTGGTAGATAGATCGAAAAAAATATTGCTGTGATTTATGTCAGAGAGTGTTCTGCCTGTGTTTTCCTCTAAAAGTTTAATAGTGTCCAGTCTCACATTTATGTCTTTAATCCATTTTGAGCTTATTTTTGTGTATGGTGTTAAAAAATTATCTAATTTCATTTTTCTACGTGTAGCTGTCCAGTTTTCCCAGCACCACTTGGTTTTTTTATTTTTTTATTTTTGGCAGCGTTGGGTCTTTGTTGCTGTGCATGGGCTTTCTCTAGTTGTGGTGAGCGGGGACTACTCTTTGTTGTGGTGCGCAGGTGTCTCATTGAGGTGGCTTCTCTTGTTGCAGAGCACGGGCCCTAGGCAAATGGGCTTCAGTAGTTGCAGCAGGCGGGCTGAGTAGTTGTGGCTCATGGGTTCCAGAGCGCAAGCTCAGTAGTTGTGGCACATGGACTTAGTTGCTCCGTGGCATGTGGGATCTTCCCGGACCAGGGATCAAACCCGTGTCCCCTGCATTGGCAGGTGGATTCTTAACCACTGCGCCACCAGGGAAGTCCCCCCAGCACCATTTGTTGAAGAGACTGTCTTTCTACCATTGTACAGTCTTTCCTCATTTATAGCACATTAATTGACCATAGGTGTGTGTCATTTCTGGGCTTTTCAATCTATGTGTCAGTACCATGCGATTTTGATGACTATAGCTTTGTAGTATAGTCTGAAGTTAGGGAGCCTGATTACTTCAGCTCCTTTTGTTTTTCTGATTGCTTTGGCTATTCTGGATCTTTTTTTTTTGCGGTACGCAGGCCTCTCACTGTTGTGGCCTCTCCCGTTGTGGAGCACAGGCTCCGGACATGCAGGCTCAGTGGCCATGGCTCACGGGTCCAGCTGCTCCGCGGCCTGTGGGACCTTCCCGGACCGGGGCACAAACCCGTGTCCCCTGCATAGGCAGGCGGACTCTCAACCACTGTACCACCAGGGAAGCCCTATTCTGGGTCTTTTGTGTCTCCATACAAATTTTAAGATTTTTTGTTCTAGTTCTGTGAAAAATACCATTGGTAATTTGATAGGGATTAATTTATTGATCAAATTAATTGATTCAATCTACATTGAATCTGTAGATTTCCTTGGGTAATGTAGTCATTTTGACAATATTGATTCTTCCAATCCAAGAACATGGTATATCTTTCCATCTGTGTCATCTTCAGTCTCTTTCATCAGTATCTTATAGTTTTTGGAGTACAGGTCTTTTGTCTCCTTATGTAGGTCTATTCCTACATAAGGAGGAAAGGTGTATTCCTAGGTATTTTATTCTTTTTGATGCGATGGTAAATGGGATTGTTTCTTGAATTTCTCTTTCTGATCTTTCATTGTTAGTGTATAGAAATGCAACAGATTTCTGTATATTAATTTTGTAACCTGAAACTTTACCAAATTCATTGATGAGCTTAGTCGTTTTCTGGTAGCATCTTTAGGATTTTCTATGTATAGTATCATGTCATCTGCAGACAGTGATAGTTTTACTTCTTCTTTTTCAATTTGGATTCCTTTTATTTCTTTTTCTTCTCTGATTGCTGTAGCTAGGACTTCCAAAACTGTGTTGAATAAAAGTGGCGAGAGTGGACATCCTTGTCTTGTTCCTGATTGTAGACGAAATGCTTTCAGCTTTTCGCCATTGAGTATGATGTTAGCTGTAGGTTTGTCATATATGGCCTTTATTATGTTGAGGTAGGTTCCCTCTATGCCCACTTTCTGCAGAGCTTTTATCATAAATGGGTGCTGAATTTTGTCTAAAGCTTTTTCTGCATCTATTGAGATGATCATATGGTTTTTATTCTTCAATTTGTTAATGTGGTGTATCACACTGATTGATGTGCAGATATCGAAAAATCCTTGCATCCCAGGGATAAATCCCTCTTGATCATGGTGTATGATCCTTTTAATGTATTGTTGGATTTGGATTACTAGTGTTTTGTTGAGCATTTTTGTGTCTATGTTCATCAGTGATATTGGCCTATAATTTTCTTTTTTTGTGGTATCTTTGTCTGGTTTACGTATCAGGGTGATGGTGGCCTCATAGAATGAGTTTGGGAGTTTTCCTTCCTTTGCAATTTTTTGGAAAAGTTTCAGAAGGAAAGGTGTTAGCTCTTCTCTAAATGTTTGATAGAATTCGCCTGTGAAGCCAGGACTTTTGTTTGTTGGGCATCTTTTTTTTTTTTTGCGGTACGCGGGCCTCTCACTGTTGTGGCCTCTCCTGTTGCGGAGCACAGGCTCCGGACGCGCAGGCTCAGTCGCCATGGCTCATGGGCCTAGACGCTCCGCGGC